AGAAAAAAAATTTTTTTTTAAAAACAAATTCAATTTCCGTCCCTTTCTCTCTCTCTTTCTCTGTCTCTTTCTCTCTTTCCCTCTCTCTCTCTTTTTTTCTCTTTCTCTCTCATATTCTACCCTCATCACCATTTTTTTTTTTTTATAAAGTTGGTAAAATTTTTTTCATTTTTTAATAAACTTTGTTTTTCTTTTTTTTGTTCCAGGAAAAATTTTGTTTTTTTTTGGAAAAATAAATTAATCGTAGTAAAAAAAATATAATCCACATCCTTCCGGTAAGTTTTTCTTTTTTTTTTTTTTTTGTTTTATTCGTATGAAAAAGAAAATTCTAAAAATATCGTCTGCTTGTGATAAATAACTTTCTAGAAATTTCATAATCACCACCCTCGAGTTATTGTCGTTAAAAAAAAAAAAAAAATTTTGCGTTTGTGTAAAATCGTTAACGAACGATTTTTTTCCAGGTATCAATCCTCGTATTATTATTGTTTTTTTTTTTTGAAAAATAATAATAATAATTATAATAATAATAATGATGATAATGATAATAAAAATAAAACCGGAAGGAACGATTACTAAAAACATGGTGGATTTTTTTTTAAAACGATTATAAAATTACAAAAACGAAAGGTCGATTTGAACGAGTTTAAAAAAGAGTGGGGAAGGGGAGGGGAGGGAAAAAATTTTTTTAAAAAAAGGGTTTCCGCCCCTTTTGACCCTCCCTCCGGGTATAAAAAAGGAACAGAAAAAAAAACGAACGAGTTTGCGGTCAATATCTTTTCTCGTTTGAGAATTTCATCGAATGTTCGTTGGGGGGTGAGGAGAGTGAAAGGGGAAAAAAAAGGGAAAATGCCTAGAATGAAAGTTTTTATTTCGATTGCGTTTGTGTAGGGGAAGGGGAGAGTGGGAGGGGAGAGAATGTGAAAAACAGGATGCGAAAAGAGTCGAACGCTGGAGGTAACGAATAATAAAGAAACTTAAAACTTGTTTTCTCTCTCCAGTAGTATCTCCAGTCGTCTCTGATTGACTTATTTAGCTTTTGTAAATTTAATTAAATTTCCAAAAAACCGATTCCAACTTTCTGGAAGGTGATAATAGTAATAATAATAATAATAATAATAATAATAATACGTTGTGTCGGTATCGAGCCGTTAAATAAAGTAAATAAATTTTTTCTTCTCTTTTCTTTCCTTTTTTTTTCATCCAGAATTTTCCGGAGGGCGGTTTTATTTACTTATTTACACGTTGATTTTTTTGTTGGATTCCAGTTGACGGATTTTTTTTTTATCTTGTCATATTTCGTGTTATTCGACAATAAAAAAGCTTTTTTTTTTGGATGAAGGTGAATAAAAATATCAAGTGGAAACGTATCGAAATTTTTTTCCAAAATGGCGCGCGTATATTCCTCAATCGGATGTTAGAGATTTAGCTTAGTTGTCTGTTTGTCGCGTCTGAATTTTTTTTTTTTTTGAGGGAGGGGGGGTGAGAAAAGAAACAAACACCGATGGGAAATTAATGTGAAAAAGAGGGGGAAAATTTTCATTTTTTTAAAAAATTAATTAACGATTTTTCCAGCGAAATAATTTGTAATTTGGAAGGGTCATCGTTCGTTCGGTTTGCATTGAAAAAAAAAAAAGTTTTTCGGTTTTCTAATAATAATAATAATAATAATAATAATAATTTTTGTATTCGACCGTGTTTGTTTACCTGTTTGTTTAATGTTATTATAAATATTGTGAAAAGAAAAACATTTAATGGGCGGGCATTTCGAAAATTTTCTTTTCTTTAGTCGGAAAAATATTTTTATCAAATTTTCTTTTTTTATCACTCGTGCTATTACGTCATAATTAAAATTTTATTTATGATAGCAAAATGTTAAAATTGTTTTTCGAAAACCTTAATGAAAATTTTTCTTTACAATTATTCAAAATTTAATTTCAATTTTTTTTTTATGATGTTTGTCGACGGGGGGAGGAGAAAGAGGGAGGGAAAAAAAGGGGGCTTAATAAAAGAACGTTGCTAAAAACATTTTTTTTGATGGATGATTGATAAATGAGGAGGGAGGGAAGGAGGGGAGGGGAATAAGTAAAAAAAAAATCAGTGAAAGAAAAAGGAAAAATTCACCTCCGTCGTTTAATTCAAAGCAAACACGCGCACACACGCACACGCACGCACACGCACTTGGCGTTTTTAGGTAGAAGTTTTGGAAGGCTACGGAGTTTTAAACTCTCAAAAACCTTTTTACTTACAGTTCATTTTAGATATTCTCAACTATCAAGAACATCTGCGGGAAAATTTTTACCCTCCCCTACCTACCTTTCTCTGTTTCTTCCCGGAAAAATAAAAAAAATAAAAAAAGAACGATGTGCAAATATGGCGATAAAAAAAAACTTTTTTTCCCCTTCGCCTTTTTTTTTTTATTTTTTCGTTTAATACATTATAAAATTCACACTTTTAATTTATTTTTTTAATCGTGACGTTTTATCATCATCATCATCATCATTGTTATTATCATTATTATTTCGATCGTTTTTTATAGCGCTTTACAATTTACAGCGCCGCTATAGGGAAACCAGGGAAAAGTATTATTTTTTCTCGATGAATATAATAATAATAATATTTTTAATAATTTTATTATTTCACGAAAAACGTTATTAAATGTGATTAAAAAAATTTGCAATTTTAATTAATAATGATAATGATAATAATAATGGGTGACGTAATATAAATAAAGTTTATAAATTATTCAAACGGTAATTGATGTTGATTTGCCAACAAAGATCTTCCTTTCCTAAGCCGGGATAATGCATCCAATTAATTCATTCCTTTTTCTCAATTTACGTCTTATCTTTTTCAATCGTTATTATCATCATCATCATCATCATCATCATCATTATTATTATTATTAATATTATTGTTAATAATATCATTATTATCGTTAATAATACACGAATTTTATTTTTTTTTAAATGAAACGCCAATAACCGGTTTAGTTGTTTTTTTTTGATTTTGAACAAAAAGCTGAAATTTTTTTTTACCAGCAAATTCATCATCATCATCATCATCATAATCATCATCATCATCATCATTATTATTATTATTATTATTATTATTATTATTAATTATTATTATTATTATTATTATAATTTCGATTTGAATTCAATTCGAGTGATCGATTGAAACTTTAAAGAGAAAAAAGGAAGGAAGGAATGAACGGGATTCGATACATTTATTAATATATTAAATATAAAATAATTTATTTCGTATTTTTCCTTTACAGAAGTTGTAGTCGTTGTAGTATGAGAGAAAGAAAAATATTGAATAATAATAATAATAATAATAATAATAATAATAATTGGATTTTATTAAAAACAAATGAAATTTTTTTTTTTTTTTCGATAAACGAAGAAGAAGAAGTAGAGGAAGAATTCTCGTGAGTTTTTCCTTTCGTAATTATTTTTTCGGGGTGGTGGTTTGCGGTTTTCTTTTGAAGAAAATATTAAATGAAGTTTTCACTTCGAGTCGAAAACCCCAGTCAGTAAAAAAAAAGGAAAAAAAAAAAGGAAAATTCTTATACAAAATAACGCGTGGAGAAAGAAAGAGAGAGAGAGATTTCGAATGAGCTTTTATTCGTAACTGTTGGAATATTTCAATTGATTTTAAACATTTTCATTCACGTACGTAAGTGTGTTCTTTGTTTGTTTGTTTGTTTGCTTGTTTGTCTTTATTTTATTTTTTATTTTTTTCCCCCCCATTTTTCTCTTTCTCCTTTTGTTAAAAGTTGATTTCCTTTTTCGCCGGTAAATAAATACAATTATTATTATTATTATTAATTTAAAAAATCATTTTTTTTTAAATAAATAAAATAAAATAAAAATAAAAATTTTTAGTATTTTTTCTTTTGTTTCCTTTGTGAGCAAAAGGAAAAATTTTTTGTTTTCATTCTAATCGGAAAAAAGGAAGAAAAAAAGGAAAGGAAAGGAAAGGGAAAAAGTTACGCGTGGATTTTATTAGTTTTTTTTTTGCTTTTTCGATTTTTTTTTTTTTGTCGTCGTCGTCGTCTTACTTTGATAAGGGATGAAATTGACCGTTGATAAGAGATTTTTAAACGGTTTCACTATTATTATTATTATTACTTCTTGCCATAATCGAAATTTTCTTCCTTCATCAAAATTCTTCGATTTTTTTTTTTTTTTTGTACACCTTACTACTTTTTCGGTTTTTCACGTGCAACAAGTGTCAGAAGAATACACCTACGTTTCGAACTGTGTCTTATACGAATAATAATAATAATAATAATAATAACTTTTAAGTATAATTTCTCAAACCGTGAAATCCTTTTATATATGTGTAAAAATTCGATCCTTGTTTTGTATTTTTTATAAAGTGAAAATCTTTTTCATAAACTTCATTTTCATTTTCATTTATTTAATTTTATTATAAGTTTTCTCAATCAGATTATGTATTTTATGTAAACGATTCAAATTCGTAACGAACCGATCGAGAGTTTTTGATTAATCATTTAAATTATTATTATTATTATTATCATTATCATTTCGCCATTGATAACGAATAGCATCAGGCTTTGATTGTCCAAACGCAATTCTTGTTATTTTATTCAATCAAGGACTGTGTGTGGACATCAATGCTTGTCCTAATATGACGACGTTACGTGTACGACGTAAAATTCAATCAAAGGATAAGATAATAATAATAATAATTTTTTTCGGATCGTTTGGATACGGCACTGATGTGAAACTAAAGGATTTTTTATAGAGTTAGTATCCTAAATACTTGTTTCGTATTTTCCGATCGAACGTGTTTGAAAACTTTTAATTTTGCGTTAAGAGAAAGGGGGAGGGAGGGATTAATGGGGAGGGGTGTGGATTTTTGTACTCTCATTAAAAGCCACACATTTCTTTTTTTCTCTTTTAATTATAATAAAAAGTTTGTAAAATAATTTTTTTTTTTTGATAATTATGCCATTATATTTTTCCAAGGGAAAAAATGTCACGCATACAAAGAAAAAAAAATTTTTAAATGAATTATGACGATATTGTAAAATAAATGTAAAAAAAGTTCTTTTTAAAATCAGAAAAAAATTTTTTTTTTAGTTTTTTTTTGTTTTCTCCAGATTTTCCGTGGAAAGTTTTTTTTTTTTTGACTACAGGAAAATGTTTTTTCCACCGTTGTCAGATCGGACCATCTAAATTTTCTTCTTTTATTTTTTTTCTCTTTCTCTTCCTTTTTATTATTGTTTTTGTTGTTATTTCGAGTTAAAAGCTTTTTCTTTTTCTTTCCTTTTTAGTCTCTCTCTCTCATTTTTTTTTTGTTTTTCATTTTTATTTTTTCACCACGTGTTTTTTTTTTTTTTTTTTTTTACTGAAATTTCATCATCACGAATCTTTATAGATAATTTTCTAGAGAGAGAAAGGGAAAAAGAAAAAATTATTTTGTCATACTATACATGATCGATTTGAGATTTTTTTTTGTTTTGTTTTTGTTTTGGAAAACAACAACAACAACAAACAAACAAACAAAATTTAAAGATTTCACGTTTATTTCTTTTTTCATTCTTCTCAAGTTACGCGTATACGAAATTTCACCCTTGATATTGTTTGTTGTTAAGGTTCCGTTACTGAAGAAAAAAAAAGAAAAAAAAAAATTTTCTTTTTGATGGTAAATGAAAAGGAAAAATG